ACCACTTGAGCCACAGCCCCACTTCTGGCTTTTTTCTTCTTTCTTATGTGGTACTGAGGAATCAAACCCAGGGCCTCAGGCATGCAAGGCAAGCGCTCTACCACTGAGCCACCTTCCCAGCCCAAATCACTTGAACTATTAAGCTGGAAGTTTATGTCCTCTTACCCTACCCACCCAAGCTTGCAAAAATGTAGAAGCCCAGCACTGGTGGCTCTTGCCTGCAATCCTACTCAGGAGACTGAGATCTGAGGATCATGGTTCAAAGCCAACCCCGGCAAGGAAAGTCCGTGAGACTCTTATCTCCAATAAACCACTAGAAAACTGAAAGTGGTGCTGTGGCTCAAGTGGTAGAGCGCTCACCTTGAGCTGAAGAGCTGAGGGACAGTGCCCAGGCCCAGAGTTGAAGCCCTACTACCAACCAAAAAAAAAAAAAAATGTAGAAGACTGGCCTGACCAGTGCTGGCTGTCCTGTCCATGGAGGCTGTGCAGACTTGCCCACGTTCTGCCTGGAGCTGTGCATTGCTGCATCCTTTTTGGAATGTATTTGGCAGTATTTATAAAATTAAAAATGTTTAACCCCCATGACCCAACATTCCCACTTCTAGGAATTCGGCCTCTCAAGAAAGGATGGTGTCCACACTCCTCCCTGCGAATACAAAAAGAGGTGTGTGTTGGGCTGCGATGTAGCTCAGTGGCCAAGCACTTGCCTAGCAAGTGCAACGTCCTGAGTTCGATCCCCAGTACCAAAAAAAAAGAGAAGACAAAAAAAATAGTTAAAAAAAAAAAAAGAGAGAGCCGGGCGCTGGTGGCTCACGCCTGTAATCATAGCTACTCAGAAGGCTGAGATCTGAGGATCGCAGTTCAAAGCCAGTCCGGGCAGGAAAGACCATGAGACTCCTATCTCCAACAAACCACCAGAAAACCGGAAGTGGCGCTGTAGCTCAAGTGGTAGAGGGCTCGCCTTGAGCTGAAGAGCTGAGGGACAGCGCCCAGGCCCAGAGTTCAAGCCCCACGACCGACAAAAAAAAAAAAGGTGTGTACTGGGGAAAACAGACTTTCCCAGATAGAACCCAATGCTCATCACTGGGACTGGACACTGGTGGGAAGATATCTCTATAGTGGAATTTTTTTTTTTTGGGGTCCAGTTGTGGGGCCTGAACTCTGGGCCTGGGTGCTGTCCCTCAGCTCTTCAGTTCAAGGTTAGCACTCTACCACTTGAACCACAGCGCCACTTCCGGCTTTTTTTTTCTTTTTGCTTATGTGGTGCTGAGGAATTGAACCCAGGGCCTGAGGCATGCAGGGCAAGCGCTCTACCACTGAGCCACCTTCCCAGCTCCGTCTCTATAGTGGAATTTTATTCAGTTGTCAACAAAGAGTCTGGTAACTAATATCCATGCAGAGCTTTTCACATTGCTGTGTGACTAAAACAAGGAGACCCTCTCTGGGTATGTGAGAAAAGGGTAGAATGCTGCTTTAAAAAAAGGCCCCAGACCCAGGTGCTGGTGGCTCACGCCTGTCATCCTAGCTACTCAGGAAGTTAAGCTCTGAGGATCACAGTTCAAAGCCAGCCCAGGCAGGAAAGTCCTTGAGACTCTTATCTCTAATGAACCACCAGAAAACAGGAAGTGGCGCTGTGATTCAAGTGTAGAGTGCTTGCCTTGAGCTGTAGAACTGAGGGACAACGCTCAGGCCTGGAGTTCAACACCCATGATGGACAAAAAAAAATAAACAGGCCCCAGACCTGCCACACCAGGCCCACTGCAGTGAGCACATTGTCAAGAGAACCAAATAAGAGCAGGTGTGTTGGACAAGGGGGCAGAGAATTCCAGGCTTAAGAGACAATGGACAGGTGCCTCTCAGATGAGATTGGACTGGAGGCCAGGCAGCCCTTCGTGGCAGCCCCTGTGTGCGAGGGTGGTTGTCCTATTCCTACTGGCTTTATTACTGTTGCAGGACTCTGCTTCTTTGCTCGCAGAGGCCTTCCTCCTGTTCCAAGTCAGCATTTCTTAGAGCAATAAAACAAGCTAATGTGCAAAGGCAAATGTCGGTCTGGCCAGACAGCAGGTGTCCCTTGAACTTGGAACTCCTGTCCTCTGGGCCCCCTGTAGCCAGTTTCCCCATCTCAGAAATATCCACAGCTGCTCCCCCTGCCGCTGCCCCCCCAAGTCTGAAGTCTGGAGGGCTCAAGTTTCTGTTTGTAGACGTGAAGAGAGGAGACAGGAGCTGGGCCTGGGTGGGGGAGCACAGGACTTCCTCCTGTCCTGTCCCTACAACTTCTGGCCACAACCCTTCCCTGCTCGCCTCCTCCTCCGGGTCGCACTCCACTCCTCCACTGCAGAGGTGGGGAGCAGCCTTGCCCAGGCTCCTGCCGGCGCTCTCCATAGCACTCAGCCTCCTGGGCTGGGGATACGCTGAGCTGCACCGAGCAGCCTGTGGATCTGTGCTGCCAAGGTGGGGGTGGCGGCAGCTGCAGGGGCTGGGAGGGACCACAGTAAGTGACTTTAGGTGCCTTTAAAGAAATAGGTTGGGGTGAGGCCCCTACCACCCACACAGGAGGGGGGAGCCTCAGTGGCCCCCAGAACAGGGGAACAAGGGAGAAGCCTGAAGGGGGCTTCAAGGGGCCCAGGCTGGCTCCACTGCAGCCCCGGGCACCCCAGGACCCTCAGCAGCTGGGCTGGCAGCGTCTGGGCCAGAAGCTGGGTGACATCACCATCCGTTTGTGACCCAAGTTCCTTAGAAATTGCGCCCAGTTACACATTAACCACAGGGCCTGCAAGGGGCCTGGGCAGACACAGGTGTGGACAGGCCCAGATTCCAGGCCTGAGTTGGGGCCATCCACGCGCCCGGGCTCTAGAGTGCTGTAGACCGCTAAGGGGAAGTTGGCTGGGGTCAGAAGAGGGGCTGGGGCTGTTCTGGGGCTTCAGGGCAACAGGAAGCAGGGCCTGGAGGAAGGAACTTGTAGAGGGAGCCTGGCTGCCGGCCCGAAGAGCCGCCTCCAGCTGCATCCTAGGTTCCTTCTTATCCAGGCCTCTTTCCCCATCTTTTTTTTTCCCCTATTTGTAGGTCATGGGGCTTGAACTCAGGGCCGGGGGTGCTGCCCTTGAGCTCTTTCGCTTAAGGCACAGCACCACTCCTGGCTTTTGAGAGGATGCCATCTTGGAATCGTGATCCTCACACAGGCCTGAGCCGGGGCGCCTGGCCCCACTTTCCTCTAAGGTGCTATCCGTTCCCTAAAGCTGGGTTTATGATTTTACTTTGCCTGTCCTGGAGCTTGTACTCTGGGCCCGGGCACCATCCCTGAGCACTTTTTACTCAAGGCTAGTTAGTGCTCTACCACTGTGAGCCACAGAGTCCTTCCCATTTTCTGGTGCTTAATTGGAGATAGGGCAGGGAGTGTCTTTTGTGATCCTCAGATCTCAGCCTAGTGAGTAAAGGTGTGAGCCATTAACCTCTGGCCAAGTTTGTGGTTTTAAATTCCACGCCTAATGATGAGCTGAATTGCTCAGGGACAGCTCCCAGACCTAGAGCTCAGGCCCCACGACTGACCAAAAAAAAAAAAAAAAAAGAGATCTTTCATGAGATTGTTTCTTACACATTTATAAGATTATGTCTGTGTTGCTTTGTATGTCCCTCCCCCATGGTATAACCCCTGCTTTCACTATATATGATGTTGGTATATGTGGAGGGAAGGGAAAAAAACAAATGGTTAAAACAGGGATACAGGAGGACCCACTGCAACAATGAGCTGTACCTTATGTTGAAAAACAAACTTTACAACTATGGTGGGGGGGGCAGGGGGGAGGATGGGAAGGGATGGGAAGGGGAAACAAAGGAGGCTACAATGCTTGATAAGAAATGTACTCATTATCTTGCCCATGTAATTGTAACCCCTCTGTACAGTATTTTCACACACACACACAAAAATTCCAAGCCTATTTTGGCTGTGTGAGATACCGGCTGTCAAGCAATCTCTGAGTCAGTTTCCTGGTCTGTAAACCCCTCCATAGGACTATGGAGAGAGGATTCATTCAGATTCCACTTCTGTCCCCCTTGTATAAACTCTGTGTAGGGGAAAGTGAGGTGAGATAGAGCAGGAGACAAGGAAATGATATTACTGTAAACAAGTATCAAAAAGGTCAGATTGAGACTTTAAAGCAAAGAAGCTGAAAAGCAGATACGCTCCTCTTCCACCACAGCTCCTCGTTAATATTAGATTCAAGATCAGAGGCACAGGAGGGGTTATCCAAATTTGTCTTCTCCTTTGAAATAGTAAAAGCCTGAGAACTCTTCACACAGTACCGAGGGGAAGACTCAAAGGCCTATCGGTCAAAAGGAAGTCCTGAAAGTTACTTGGGGTTGGGGTAGGCCTAGAACCACTGCCTGAGGACCTGGGAATTGAGGAGCTACTCTGGGGGGGAGGGGAGGGTCCTTTGGAGCCTTCGACTCTTGTGTCCTGTCTGGGAGCAGGCAATGCTTCCCTCCCCCGTGGCTCCCTACTTAAGAAGTTATCCTAAGGTGGATCCTGGCTGGGATCCTCTTTGTAACAGGCCCTGAGATGCTTTTCACCAGCAGATCTTAGGAGCCCGGGAAGTTGAGGGGAGGAAGCGATGGGCCATCCTGAGGTGACAAAAGGACCCAGCTCAGAGAAGATGGGGGCGGCTCAGACAGGACGGGGAGCTCGGGGAAGGAGGCCCGGGGCAGTGGACAGGGCGGCAGAATCCTAAGGCCTGGGAAGGGCTTTGGCCTGGGCTGGGAGGAGGAGCTCAGGGAGTGGAAAGTAAATCTCCCGGGGGAGCAATTAGGGAATGAGTCAGGCGGCGGCGGGGCCGGCCGGGAGGTCTCCAGGCCGAGAGTGAAGCCCGCCCAAGCCCGCCCAAGCCCCCTCACCGTCGGGCCTCCCCCAGCCTCCTTCCCCCG